TGTTGTTGCTGCTGCTGCTGCTGCTGCTGCTGCTGTTTCTGCTGCTGCTGTTGCTGCTGCTGGTGCTGCGCAGGAGTCTCGGGTTTTGTTTTTGAGGTGTCTCGACAGCGTCTGCCTGCGGGCATCCAGTGAAGCCTCTGCGAGCCCTGAGCAGCAGCAGCAGCAGCAGCAGCAGCAGCAACAGCAGCAGCAGCTGCTGCTGCTGCCGCGACCTTTAAGTGAAGTACAGCAGCAGATGCAGCAGCAGCAGCAGCAGCAGCAGCAGCAGCAGCAGGTGTGCGCGGAGCAGCAGCAATACGCGCTGCTGCCCGCAGTATGTGCTTCTCCTCTTGCTGCTCCTGCTGCAGCAGCATCGCAGCCGCTGCAGCGGCTGACGCATTTGCTGCAGAAGCAGGCATGCAGTATCATGCGTGCAGCAGCAGCAGCAGCAGCAGCATCAGCTGGAGACGCTGCTGCTGCTGGTGCTGCTGCTGTTGAGCCTGAAGAGGATGCACCGTCCCTGGTAGAAAGCAGCAGCAGCAGCAGCAGCAGCAGCAGCAGCACGAACAGCAGCAGCAGCAGCAGCAGCAGTGTGAACGCGCAGCAGCTGCCGTTGCTGCTGCAAGTGCTGTTCAGCTGCTGGAGGCGAAGCAACGCAGCAGCAGCATTAGCAGCAGCAGCAGGAGAACCATGTTTGCTGCTGCAGTATGAGCCTTCATCTGAACAGCAGAAGCAGCAGCAGCAGCAGCAGCAACAGCAGCAGCAGCAGCAGCAGCAGAAGAAGCAGCAGCAGAGGCGGCGGCTGCTTCCCGATATGTCGCCGCTTGTTGCTGAGCTGTACAGACACCTCAGCCCTGCTGCTGCTGCAGAGGATGCAGCAGCAGCAGCAGCAGCAGCAGCAGCACCTGATGCAGCAGCAGCAGCAGCCGCACCTGCTGCCTGGTTGCAGGCTCTGCTGCTGCAGATGCCCCTCGATACAATTTCTACTGGCATGGCGGTAGGTTTGCTGCTGCTGCGGCTGCTGCTGTTGCTGCTGCTGCTGTAGCTGCTGCTGCTGTTGCTGCTGCTGCTGTTGCTGCTGCTGCTGTTGCTGTTGCTGCTGTTGCTGCTGCTGCTGTTGCTGCTGCTGCTGTTGCTGTTACTGCTGTTGCTGCTACTGTTACTACTGCTGCTGCTGCTGCTGCTTTCATATGGCTGTAGAGAAGCGATTGCGGCTGCTCCAATTGCTGCTGCTGAACAGCTGCGGCGACGTGCATGCATATCAAGAGAAGCTATCTGGGGTGTATAGGCACC